GGGGTAATGCAGTTTTGATTCTTTAATCAATTTATCCATTGTCTCTAATTAACAAGTTGAGAATTTCAGTTAACCCTACTTATTAGGTAAGCAAGGCAAGAAGTGGTTTTCCTTCTTAATTTTTTCAGAGTTGGAATTACCTGTAACAAACTTCTTTATCCTATAGGAATCCTTCAGAGAAAGGTTGAAGAGATTTCTCGCCTCAGTGAAACAAGAAGAAAAGAACAGGAAAGAAACTTCAGATTGGTGAGTTTTAGGTATTTTTGTTTGTTTGTTTGTTTTAAAGAAATAAAATTCAAGATTAGAAAACTGTAGTTTTTGCTGCACATAAAATGCAGATAAAAGAAGAATATTCTATATTTTGAGAGTACAGTTTTAGACCTTAGTTTTAGCTGCATATTCCTTATGATAGAGGAGTAATCATTCTAATAATGGAGAGTATAGTCCTTAAGCAAAATCATTTGCGTGATTGCATTGCATTTTTGATGCCACTGGGACGTTACCCTCATCTAGAGGCATGACATATTTGCTAATATTAGGGCAAGTTTTAAGGTTTGTAAGGCGTGAAGTTTTGGTAAGAATGAATTTGACTCTTAAATCCATCAAAGATAATTTGCAAAATAACCTACACATAAATGCATGGTACTGTCTATGGATTTCATATTTGCAAGCCTGAGTTTATTTGATACAAGAATCATTGTATGGGTTTCCTTTTTCTCTTTCTTGCAGGCATTTGAGTGATAATTTTTCCACTCTTTCAATACAAGTTGTACGGCACATCACAGCTACCGTAGTGTATAGTGTTAAACACGGCACACCTGCAAGCATAATCGATCATTTTGTGAGAGGGAATAATGAGCTGAGAACGTGTGAGAAGAAAGATTGATGACTTTCTTGTCTTGCAGCTCTGCCTCCTGGTTTAACAGTTTTCCTTTCTATAATTATCTATTTCAAATATTCCTAAAATCGTAAGCTAGGCAAGCATGATAGAAGAGCTGTAATATGGTGTTGGTGTGCAAACAAGTCTGTAAATCCCAAGTCATGTTTAAAGTACTCTTTTTTTCAAAAAAGATTAAACAATCAAGTTTGTTGTTTCCTTTGAAATATTTTGCCTTTTTGATTAACTGGGTTTGTACCCCATGCCTCCCCCACCCCAGTCTTTTACCAAACCTCTCACGGCCAAGCGGTTGTAAGGTCTTCAGTTACCGTTACACGGTAGGATCTAGTTACGAGATTAGCCTCACCCTCCAGAGGGTCCCTGTAATAGGAAGGGTACCTCTTACCGCGCTTGGCTTGTCAGTCAGCACTTTACATGTGACACTGTCAGGACCACCCTTGCCAGGATAATTGGACCTTAAAATTAACTTTTGGTTAAAGTGGGGTATACCGACCTCATACGTAGGACTTTTTTCATCCTCTCACAATTTTTTAGCCAAAAGTCTTGAGAATGATGTTGTACAGTACCCTAGGTTAGAAGCATTCCGAAAATGTTCCATTCAGGTCAGATGTGATGTGAAAGATGCTAAATCCCAGTTTATTTCCCTTTTTTACGCTTGTAATTCCCATCCTTGTGAAACATCCCATTTTCTCAACAAAGAAAGAAGCCAAATTCTGGTTTAAAATTGCCAAGCTCTTGTGGCGAGCAGTTTCTTGGACGCTGGGAGCGGAGGTGTGGCCTGTAACGGTATCCAATCGATTCGCCCACGGACCAGCTCGCCCACGCATGAAGTAACTTCAATAAGCGGAGCTCATTACAGAACTAGTCCTGTTCTGAGTTCAGGTCTGAATTTTTTATGAAATGATTGTCACGTTGGGATGTCACGCGTGACACGCATGCTTTATGACATAATTACATAACGGCTCGCACGTGGTTTTTGTTTTGCTTTTCGACTCGTATCTTCTGACTGAATGATAATGAAGTAATTGAAGTTTCGAGAACGATTCGTTAATATCATGCCGTTGCAATTCAAACAGAAGTGTTTGGCAACCAGCATACCATTACATACGAACACTTTTTGAATTTTGTAAGCCAAAGAATCAAATAGATTGTTTGAGGATTTGGATCTCATCATCTGACGGTGCGTGTGTAACGGTATGCCGGTTACCGAACACTTTGGTTTGTAAATGACCGTAACTATATGAAAATCATATAAGTGAACTGAAGGATCTTCGCTGTAATGAGCACTACTTGGAAGGTAATAGGAAAGTAACTTTAAGAGTGTACGAGTTGAGGTGGGCATTTTGGTCCGTGGGCGACTCGACTGTAATTCCCTGTAACAGCCCTCTGGTTTTCCCGACTATCTCTCACGATGTCGCGGTTTTGCCGCTAGTTGTCACAGTCGCGCCCGCTTGACGCTTAAACCATCGATTACTCAGTCTAAAATTTTTTCCACTCTATTTTTTCCTTTGAAAGCATGCAGCATGCTTGGAAAAATAGGAAGGAATTCTTATTACAGTTACTGAATTTTTCTTTATCGTACTCGTTTCCCGCGGGTTATCCCGTATCCCGAACGTTGGACCATACCCGGCAAAAGTCTGGGTTATAGTCACACAGGTTGTTAGCGAAGAAATAATAGTTGATTATGGAGGAGGCCGAGGACGCCAATCAGCCTAAAAAAGGCATTTTGAGGCACAAGTCTGAAGACAAACACCAGTATGTATCGCTTTTAATAACAATTAAGCTATCAACATTTTTGTGACTGAAGATATTTTGTCTCAGAGTGATCTTTGGCGCATCTGTAGAATTCCTGACTTTCTGCACGCACGCCGAAAACCTCACATGAACACCAACTGAAGTTACTTTAAGTACTACATTTTCTTTATTGTCGATGGAGTAACAGTTATTTCCTCGGAAAGAACTTCAGTAAGTTTCGGTTTTAATGAACTGTAAGCAATGTGCTTGAGACTGCTGTTAACAGCTGTGCAATGGAGAATATAACTAACAGTCAACCTGCTGTTGTTTGTTAGTACGCGTATAATTTTCACGATCGCAATTACTGAATGCTAAGTAATCCTTTCTCCTGCTCTTCTGTAAGCCATTTAAGAAAGCTCTCTTTACCCTTACAATATTGCATATACCTTATGGAGTCCAATGCAAACTCCTAGAACAAAATAGCACCGTTCGCGGTTCGCTTCTTTCGCCCGACTTGCATGGGAACTCTAGTGTCCTCGTTTTGCGACCTTTGTTTTTAATCGACGACTAAGGTTGTACATGTACTCATTGCCTTGATTGTAAAAATCTTAAATCTAGCCAGTAATTTTCGCTTTCATCCCACTGAAAGTGTAAAAGAAATTATGAAAAAAATTTATTCTTTGTAACTGGAGTCCCTGCATGCATTCAGGGAGCAGAGGTACAGAATCGAGCTCAAACAGGTTTTCGAAATATTAATTTATAAACCTGAGGTGTAGGTTTTCGATGGACCCTAATCTTTTTACTGCTTCGTTATTTGTTAAATTTTCCTCGAAGTGTGAATAAAGGAGTCTCAGCTAGAATATTGTTTGTTTCTAGAGAAGCACCTTTGATATCTTGGCATAAATTTTGAATCATCAAAGATAACTTCTTCATACAAAATTTTTTGTTAGGATCAGAAATCCAACAGATTAAAAAAATACCCCCTGTATACGGGCACAGTGTCAAGATATGATAGAGCTTATAAAATTAGTTTATGTTGTATGACTTAAGGCTCTCTCTATTTAATTTTTCTGTTTTGCAAGGAAATCTTTAATATGTAAATTGTAAATATACACTTAAGTGGTGTCTGCAATGCATACTCAATGTGTAAGGCGAGATACAATTTTATTCCCTTAATCTATTAGTCGGGGAATAAATTTTTAAATTCTCCGATGATGGTGAAGCTCATTTGTGGCTTGAAGGCATGTAAACATATCAGTGGTATTGTTTAAGGTGTAACCTTTAATACAACTTTTTTCCAACAAAGTTGTAATTGGTTTGATTCAAGTGAAATTCTCTCAGTTTATTGATTTTTCATTTTCTGATTAACATTCACTTACAATCTTTCACTACAGACAAATGTTTTTGTCTATGAAATTTTTCATTGTTGAGTTCTAACTGAAAAGAAATCGACTACATTCTATGAAAATTTTAATTGTAAGCTTGGAATATGGAATTTTAAAAATTGTTTTAATGGTAATGACTTTGTGACTTGATTGGTGTGCCACAGATCCTTCTCCAATTTTCTGAGAAGTTCCTTTGCACACATCCTGTTATAATGAAATAGAGAAGCTTCCTCTAATTAATGCTAATGGTTAAAGCAATGTTTTCTGTGAGCAACACCTGTTATGTTCAGAACTACATACTGGGTGGCAATTTTCTAGATTTGGAATTTAAAACAGGGTTGTGTATTCCTCTATGCAAAATCAACTATGTAAAAATGAGTATTATTAAATGTGTAGTGGATATCATCCAGAGTTAATTCCTATTTATGCAAGAATATTGTGATTACAACCTTGGATAACAAATTGCGTAGAAAAGTGTACATTATATTTCTGTGTAGTTTAAATATTGTCAATAATGTTTCATGTGACTTCTATTTATAGCAGATTTGTTTGAAAATGTGTGGGTAAGAGAAGTTGAATAATTATGTGTTTGTGTTTTTGAATGTGGGCAGGTCCATATTCAAATTGAGTTCTGCTCATGAAATGTGGTTTCTAGACTGGGCCAACTTCAACATAATTATATTTTAGGTGGAAATTTTTTTTCCTGAAGACTGATCTTTCCTTTCTATTTAGCGATTCTCTAGTTGGAATCTTTGTTGAATTAAATTAGAGGAGAGTGTTGAAAGCAGAAAGATAAATTTTGAATATTAACTATCAAGTCAATGAGAGGAAGTAAAAATTCTTAAATAAGTACTGATTTCTCACTCTTCCATTTATTTCTTTCCAACTCTGAAACTGTTTACCATTTATTTGAACAAAGACACTGCCCTTTCCCAATTTTTTCTGGAGGGAAGGGGGGGACAGGCTGTACACAGGCTATAAACAAAATGATGTTATATTCTTGGATAATGTGTACTTATTGACGGAGTGGAAGTACAAGGTCTGCAGGTCATGTTTGAGAGCCAAATATTTTCCCGTACTTTTTGAACAAACTCAGTCAACTATTTTACCGTATGACCACTAAGTGTTGAAAATTTGGAAAATTTTGTTTTAATGTAAGTAGGACTGGGTTGACAGATGTATGTGGAAGTCAACCATAAAATAGATTCAACATTAAAAACTTTTCCTTTCTCTTTTAGTCAGAAATTGAGTCCATTTTGCTACAGTACTTTTTCCAGTGTGTTACTAATTGAAATACCATTTGTTGCGACACTAAGATGAAACCCACCAGCTGTTAAGTCCATCTATTCTTAGCACCTTTTTGCTGGTTGAGTCAACCAGCACCTTTTTGCTGGTTGAGTCAACCAGCAAAAAGGTAGAGTATATATCTATAGGTGGAGAAGCTAATACATGTCTAAAAAGGGTGGAAGCCATCATGCACACACCTTTTAAGAGAATTTTTAGAAACTTGCATTTCATTTTCTTGTTTCCGTCTTCTTTCAGTTTTTGCAACAAAGCAGGGCAAGATGGCTTTTTCTGAATTGGCTTTTAAGAATTGCAGTAAGGAAGACATCATAACGTAGTTAGAATAGAAAAAAATCAAATCTGAAAAATTTCAAACACTCTTTATTTCAGCTCAGGTATTCATTGGGATGAAATGAATATTTTTATGACACATCATCCCCCAGATAAAGACTATGGCCATATGAAGATCAATGAGCCTCCAACACCATACAGCAAGTGGAAAGATCCAGGTGATGATGAAGGTGAAGGGACCGCAGATCCCTTTTCTGACGATGAAGCTGATCCACAAAAGTTAGATCCAGAAAACTTACATGATAGGTAAATACAGTCTAGCTAAGGGTTTTAACCCCCAAAAGGGATTGACTGGTAACTCCTCCATGCAATTTCAGTATGTTATCTTGCAACCAGGTAAGGAGAATATAAAAGCTTATCAGCATCTCACCAAATTCCCCTGTTTAATTTACAAGGAACTGTATGGCAGTCAGTAGGGAGGGATAAATTTCATCTTGGGAATTGAAAGGTTAGGGGTTTTGACGCTTGGGTAACAGATGTTGTTAGAGTGTGATTGTCTTTTCATGTGTGTGCAATTGCATAGTCCAGGAAAGAGGTGTTGTAAAGATTAGGCCATTGTACCAAGAAAGATTATGTTCAGTTAAGACTGGAAATGTGAAGGTTTGTCTAGTGTTTGAATGTGTTGTAACTTATAGCAGAGCTCGCAGAGCTTAGCCTCATAATTTTACAAAATGGTAGTAGTAACCCATCGAGCTGAAGAAATTTGGACTTATGACCGTACGGGTGTCCGTACAAGGTGCTACTTTTAGCATGTGTGGTCAACTGTACCGCAGGCACGCCAATGCCATGGCTTTGTCTAGTAGTCCAGTGGTCAGTGCACTGGGCTCAGAGTTGGATGACCTGGTTTCCAGTCCTGGCCAGGGCAAGGCATTGTGCCTTTGAGATGTGCGGGAAAAAAAATGTAAGCTCCGCTTTTAGGTTTGGCTAAATCTAGATATTGATTCATCCGTCAGGATCAAAGATGCTCCAAAGAGAGGCTCTTGGGATGAAAATGCTGAAAATGATGATGATGATGATGATGAAATTGATGAGGATTTAACAGAAAGTCAAAAAGGTGAGAAACAAACACAGCTTGAATAGGAAAATTTTAAGACACATGTCAATTGTACACCTTTACTTAAATGAACTGATTTCTATTTTTATGTTCTCTCAGTTACTACATGTATATTTACTGTGATGGGTCAAGTTAGCATGTTGCACTTTACTGCTCAGACAGCATGTGAAAATCTCGCACTGTTTTTGTTGGCTAACTTTCCTGTTATTACTTCATGGGGCAAATGAAATTTTAAATCCTTCACCTTCTTTACATTTTGTGTATGAGTTAGTGGAAGACTGATTTAGAATTTTAAACTGCCTCATTTTGTTTTCAGCATGTGCCAGGTATTCAAGGTCCATGTGATTATAAAATTTCTAAAACCTGTCAGCCTTGCAGTAGACTTGTTATAAGTATTTGCCAACCTCATCTTTTTGCTTAGAAATGTGTTTTCCAACCCCTTGTTCCCTCCCCCCTATGATTTGTGGCCTGTGCACTTGGGCCATAAGTAGAGTGCAGTTTAGGGCCTCAGTTTGCAGGCCTTTAATTGTAAGGGGAAAAACTAAGGCTGTAACTTGAATTATTACACGACTCGGGCAGTCTGAGGGCCAATAACTAAAATCAAGCAATCAAAATGCTCTATTGCCGGTCCAATATTCTCTAAGTATTGGACCGGGCACTGTCCGGAATGGTCCCAAATGATACCGCACTTGTGTCCCTTTGAACTTCAGTCGTATAATAAATCTCTTATTAACCAAGCTTGCTCGTGACCGTACTGGAAGAATATCGGCCCTCGGTCTTTTTTGTATGGACCTCGCTGCACTCAGTCCATACTGTCAAGACCTTGGGCCGATATTCTCCCAGTACGGCCCTCGCACTTGGTTAATAAGATATTTGTACAGACCTTGAACTTGGTCAGGAAGAGGTATGTGAAAATAACTATCTGTCCACTTCCCTTCACTCTAGAACATAAAAAAGCCTTCAAAGATAAGAGAAGGGTACACTACAATGAATATTCCAAAGTTAAACTTGCAAGGAAACTTATAGAGCAAGAGTTAAAAGATCTAGAAGATGACAATGATGAGTCACTAGACACAGCTAAAGAAGGATCAAGTTCAACAGATGCTGGTGCAGCTGATACTCAGGTGTTGTATTGTGCTGTAATCATTGGCCCTGAACTAGCTTTTTCACTCCCATTTCACCCTAGTGTCTCCCATACAATTCTTATGTGGTTAGTTTTGAGAATTAAGTATTGGATCGACTAATAATCCCTCAATTGATATTTTGCTTCACTCTCGTCACTTGTCTGCTTGATATTGTGTTGATACTGTAAGGAGAAATTCTGTCTTGGTCAGTCATGGGAGTTAAATGGTTATAAGGTCATGAGATTAAAAGAAATGATTGCCAATTAAAGAAGCTCTTGATGCTTAAACAAATTCTGCTTGACAGCACATATAGAACAACTCGGAGAATATAGCCAACTGATGTTTGATTGTAGGAAGTTTTAGGGGACTAAGGAACCTAAATTAGTACCACCAAACAAGCAGAGTTCCAAGCTTGACATTTTTCAGAGTCACCATTTAGTTACCTAAAATTGTGAAATGGTTGCCAGAAATAAATTTTGGTTGCCAGAGACTGAAAAAGATACTTGTTGTAAAGTTACATGACCTACTTTATAACTGCTGACAACCCTGCCTACCTTTGTGGTAAGCAGTACAGTTGGCAAAGGTTTTTGGAGACTTATGAGCCATTAAGTCACCAGAATTTATTCAGTCTCCACGGCAGCTCATTTAAAATCATGGAAAGAATAGCTTTCTGGAATATGAGCATTGACTAGGGCATAGACTTCAGTGGTTTTCAGTTTACCAAATGATGAGGTTCTAATAATTTTCTTTTCAGTCTAATTCTAAACAAATAAAACAATGATATGTACTTGAACTTACTCTCTCAGCATTGTGGAATGTTACAATTACTATTTTTCTCTTTTTCTTGTTTTTCATCTTGACATATTCTTATTTTTTCTTTTTTTCAGATGGATGAGACATAAAAACCATAGTCTTGTAGTAATACTCTTGTAATATTGAACAACAAGCAAGAAAATGTCGAAAGATTGTAACCCAAACTGAAAAGATTATATAAAAAAATATCTGATAGTAGGTATATCACAGCTTAATTTACAGAACAGCCTAATATTCCATGTTAGTAAGCATCATGGTAGAAATAGGAAAAACTCGAGACAAGAATAATTTGTAACTGTTTAATGCACATTTTACCTGTTACATAAAGTTATAAGTTATTGCCCATATAGTAAATAGCTGTTTATTAGCCGGCATAGTTGAACTTAGTGTTAGAGATAAAGTTACTCTCACTTGAACCAGAAATCATGTCACGGATTTCACTGACTGTTTTTCTCTCTTTAACCCTTGAAACTCCCAAGATCTGATTTATAATTCTCCCCTGTACCTGCTTTACATTTCCTTTTAGATGAGTAACAAGAATTGGGTGTTAGATCAAGGTGACTGCTTCTACCTGATAAGTCTGGGTATTCTCATTACCTGTGTACTGGACAATGTAATGTTATTACATAGGGAGAAGTTGCATGCCCATCAGTTCTGGGAGTTTAAAGGTGAACCTTTTACTTGCATTCTCACCAAGTGAACTACTCTTATGACTTACAAATGGAAATCTTTTAATCCTGCTTTTTTGTGATTCCCTCAAATACAAAACTAAGTTTTCAGTATAAGATTAAAATGCATGAAGATCTTAAAGTTTATTTTCCTAATACTCTCCTCGGAAAGTCATTCTTGAGAATTTGTTGTATTAACCGGAGAAATTATGCGCACAAAAAGTAGAGTTGTTTTCAGAATTATAGATTATTAATAAACTTATTTCATTGAGATTTAGAGTGGTTGATTTAACACTTCAACATTAGCTTTGTTGATCATTTACTTGCCCTCTTTTGTAAAAACGTATTTCTCAAGGTGCTTCTTTGCATCAAAAGGAGTGTGAATAAACTAACGCTAGCTAACAAAGTCATTTTCTCCCCGTAAAGCAACGAAAACTTATGATACTTACCGCCTCCCGGTTAGCTCAATTAATAGAGCGCTGGACTGATGTGCGGGAGGTCGAGGGTTCGAGCCCCGGCCGGACCAACACTCAAGGTTTTAAAATAATTGAGAAGAATATGCTGCCTTTCTATAACATCAAGAAAATGGTTTAGATATTCTAGTCTTCTCGGATAGGGACGAATAAATGGAGGTCCCGTCTCCTGCAGGGCTAGGGGTAGGAGACGTTAATTTCTCACGCACGAGATTACTGTGAGATGGATGTCCTCCCCTGGGGTGGGATGGGTGGGTTTATGTCTTGCGTTTCATACGTGAGCCTCTGGCTCGGGCAATGTGGGTAACCATGCCCCACGTATAGACATTAAACTTTGATTACAGGCGACAAAAACTTCGTAGGCCACAACGCGTTGCCGTCCCGTTTTCAATTTTTGTGTCCTAGCAGAAAGTCCTTTTACCTCTTCGAAAAAATCATTCTCTTGTTATGTTGTTACGTTTAAGTTTCAATAGTGACCCGTTGAAATACTGTACTTCGCGTCTTTTCGCAGAGGTAAAATAAAGGTCAACTTCAGAGGCCTGTGAAGAGCTCCACCATAGTATATTTACAAATCATAATATACACCACCTAAAAGCTTTATCCTCGTATTTTAATTCCTCCAATTCTCTATCTTGGCCCGCCATAAGTGGCGCGTCCAGCTTGAAGAGAGTTCGGGCTTAAATGACAGAATTGCTTATCGGCTCACGTTGTTCTTACATCTGTCTACAGGAACCATACATTCCAATAAAACCTTCAGGGTGATCACTTTTTGAAAGGGGTATTATATTTAGATTCGCTTGACCGTCTGTCGAGCTTCGAGAAACTAGATTTTGATCGACTTTGAAAATCAAAAAGCAAATCTTGTTCTTCGAGCAAAAGAAGAACCCAAGGACTGAAACAATTGCATAAAATATTTTCAAACGATTAGATAATTGTATTTGCAATACTTCAATTCCTTTTGGTCACCGGCCAGCTTAGCCATGTTAGTGCTTGTACACTCATGGCCGTAAGTTAGCTAACTTGAGTGTCCTGTTCTGAACGTGTTAGGGTTAAAACAGATTTAATCGGCTAATGTTGATATTTTCAATCCGTATCCTGTCCTGACAAGGCAAAAGACTACATGGATGGTTGATGACGGTCAGATATGAAACAAATATATTTATTTTAAAGGATGACTTATTTTAAAATATTACACATAACACGAGAATTTTATTCCATAAAGCTCATTTGTAGAAATCTATACGCTTTATTTTCATATGTGAATAAAGCCTATACAGCCAATCAGAATGGCGCACAGCTCTTCACGTGTCGAAGTATAACCAATCGAATTGCTGGAAAGAATTACACGGGCGCTCGCTTGCCCGTGCTCGCATAATTTTTTGACCGGTAACCGGTCAAGTCGCCCGAAAGTCATCTCGCCCAAAGTCATGTTGTCCGGAACCAGAGTCATATTGCCCGAAACTTATAGTCCTGTTGCCCGATATTTTGAATCACGTCGCCCAAACTTTTATCGAGTGTCTAAACTTGAAGAAAGGTAACATCTTAGGTAAATCGCAAGGAATAAATTCTTAAAATGTTGACTCGTAAATTGTTTTCGTCCGCTAACCTATGCAAATATGAAGTTAAAGAAAGACTCAAATAGCGCTGTTCATTTCAGCGTTGTTCGTTGCTATGAACTATACTGATCATTCTACAGTACAGATTCTAGTAATTATAAGTGGAACACTTTCAGTTATCAGAATTTTTCACACATATCAGAAAAATACATCAATTTCTCTTAGTTTGACTTATCGTATAAAAAACAACCTGAAACTTTTACTGCAGTTTTTTGTTGTTCATTGTCAACCGCGCGAACAAAGCGCGTTAGTATCATTCCCCTTAGGATCAGACTCGGCATAAATTATCGCAACTTGTTTTCTGTTCCTCAGTCGGTCGCATGTAAATTTGATCCAGTTAACCATACATGTTTAAAGAGAGTAAATTAATAAGAACCATCTCAATCCGAGATAATCAGCTCGCTGAAACACGAGATTGTTACGCGTGCGCAAAAGAAACATACAATGAGCCTGCATCATCCCTTTATCGAGTGCGAAAATGAAGTTCGACCACGCCAGCAAGTCCTTCAGTGCGACAATTGTGGTTTTTGGCAGCATCGTATCTGTGAGACCGGTACCGACCAAACCACCTACCGTTTGGCAGTAATAAGAGGAAGAATAGATTGGTTGTGCGTTGCATGTTCTCTTGCGGCATGGAACCCAAGTGACAAGGTCCTCGCTGTTGAGAGCACATGGAGGACTACACTGCGAGTAACAATTCACTTAGCACATGGACCAGTCCGTATAGATTAGTTTTCTTCAGTTTTTGCTCGCTTTTAGGAAAGTAATGATATTACTATTATGCAGTATACACTTCTGAATGCTTCAGATTACAAATAAAATTGATATACTACGCCAAAGGCGTAGCCTATTCAATTGTCACTACTACACAGATAAAGCTAAACTTTAAAAAAATTGTGTGCCCCTAGACCCTAAAAGGAATTAAATGTTCCATCAATCTATTAAAGCTATGCTCGAACCTAACGTCGTTTAAGGAACTAAGTCCGATAGGACCTTAAAAATCCAGACAGAAATAAACTTAAGAGTTCTAAAATGGTATACCCATAGACCCTAAAATGGAGAAAAATATTTAAAACCTATACTTAAAACTGACGTCGTTGGAAGAACTTATTCCGATAGGAACTTGAAAGTCCTGGCAATATTAAGGGAGCTAGAGGCTACAGCTTTCCGCATGTTCCTTAGCACTGAATTTATTCCTTGCGATTTACTTAAGAATTTACTTAAGTTAATTTTCTTCAAGTTTAAACACCCGATAAAATTTCGGGCGACATGACTATGAATTTCGGGCAACATGACTGTGGTTTCAGGCGACATGACTTCGGGCGAGATGACTTTCGGGCGACTTGACCGTAAACCCTTTTTGCGACTGCTCGCATGCTCGTATTCTCAATTTAAGAGTGCTCGCAAAATTTGGCCTTTGCTCGAATTGCTTTATTGATATCGTACTTAGATTTAAAAAAAACAAAAACTTTTGTAAGTGCAGTTTTGCGTTCAACACTTTATTCCCTTCATGTACATGTACTGCGATATTTTCCATTGCCATTAAATTTGCATTGTTAGTGAGTTTTTGTTTCCAATTTGCGTTCAGAAAATAATTTCAATGAAAATTCTCGTGTTATGTGCAATGAACAGCTCACCACATAGAAAGTGCTTTGTGCGGGGTTTTATTCACTCGTTGTTTGTGTCAAAAGCCCTCACTCGCTCCTACCCCGTTCGTTCGGGGTTTTTGACACAAACAACTCGTCAATAAAACCCCATACGCTGCACTTTCTTTGACGTAAACTATTTTTACCAGAGTGTTTCCCGTCTAATAAACCAGTCATTATTTACGCCTGGGTTGTGGGTGGAGAACTTTTGGGGGGAATCGTATGGTTTTTCGTGGGAACGGAGGGGAATCTGTCATCGCCAAGAGAATAGTATAAAATAAGGGAGGGATGAGGTAAATTTTATCGTGACAAAACCAAAACCCTCTCACCCCACCCAGGCGATATATAAAAATTGGTACGTAACTCAGACCGGTGCTAAACTAATGCAAATTAAAATTGTAAATCCTTTTTTACTGTACAAAGATTGTTCATCGCAAAACTAATTTTCGGAATAGCTCCCCTTTAAAAGTAATCAAAAAAAGAGGTATGAAAATTGAGTTACTTGAAGAGGCTAAAACTACGGAAAGTAACGAAGAAGGAATATTTTCATGTCCAGTTTTGAATCTAAACTAATCTAAACTTGAAATCATAATACCTCTTTGGTTCTGACTTTCAATTAAAAATTGAAAACTGAAAAAAGATCAGGCCGTGAGTTCATCAGTTTACGATTATTTAG